CACCCTGATGTTCACTTTGGTGAACCAGGTTTGGTTTCTCTTCCTTTTGGGCTCTCCCCTCCCATCACTGCAGCTGCCCTTTGGTTACACTCRTTCCCAAAATATTTCCTGTATCCTGAGAAATCCCTGCTTTTTAGGTTGTATGGCCTGGACATGGGTTGGGTGAGAATGGGAGGGGGCAGAAGGCTGCTGGCTGCTCCATCATCTCTGCTGACAGAACAAAAGGATGTACRGGGATGAGCATGGAGCAAATCCAGAGAGGAACCAGATTCTCAGCGTGAAAATGGGATTTTCCCACACCTCAGCTTCCTGCACAGAAAACAAACCAAAGTCAGGAAAGCTGCAGGAGCRAGTTTTCCTTCCTAAAGTGAAAAGCAAAAGCCACCTGCCCTTCCTACACTGGGGTGTCTCAGGRTAGATCCCTCCGTGTTCCCTACAAATGTGATGGACCATGGACAAACCTGTAGGGGATTCACCCAACCCCATGGACAAAACCTCTGCCAGCCTCCTTGGCTCACCTGCTCAGAGAGCAGAGCTTCATTCCTCACCTGGAATGAAATTCCAGGAATTCCCTCMGGAATGAGGGTTTATTTGGGAGTGGCTGCTATTTATTGAAAAAGAACCCACCAAATCACAGAGTCCTGGATGGCAACACAGCCCTGTGGAAATGTGATCTCCCTCCACCTGGGGTGCTTCCTGTGGGAAGGGGTGAGACAGCCAAGGAGCTGTGGGCAGCTGAGGGGGTTGGGAGCAGGATCCCATCCAGGAACCCTCTCAAGGACTGATTTCCAGCCCAAATCAGGTCCAGGCAGCAAATCAACCCCCCAGGCCTGAGGGGAGGGTGCAGACAGCACAGCACCATCCTGCTGGCTCCTATCCATGGAATTCTCCCGAGCTGTGGCTCCTTGGAGCTTGCCCAGGACCAGCCGTGCCAGGGCAGCACCGGTGGCAGCAGAAATCCAAATGAATCATATCAGATGTGTCTTCCCAAAAATGAGAGGGGGAAATGATCCCAGGGAGCTGCTGCTCGCCCCCACGGTGCTGCTGGGCTGGACTGGGAGGGATTCCAGGAGCAGCTCCCTCATCCTCATCACTGCAGAGACTCCACACCAGCCTTGGGACCCAGCGTGTGCCAGGGCAGCTCGGGCTGGGTGAGATTGGCTTTCCTGGGGTCTCCAAGGAGTCGGGGCCCTCCTTTGTCTCCTTTGGCAGAACAGAGAGGGCCATTCATGCCCTGTCCCGTGCAGGAGCGTGACTGTCCCAGAATAGGCTGCAGGGCAGGCGGGGAGGGGGCCCTGCACACCCCAAACTCCTCATTTATGGCAAAAGAGCCAAAAAGGCACTGCAGCCCCTCTCAGAGGCCAAAGGGTTAACAGGTGGCCATGCCATGGATCCTGCCCTGGGGAGAGGAGCCCTCTGAGGGACAGCTCCCTGCCCTGCCTGGGGACAGCAGTGACAGGARGGGACAGRGCCAGGTCACCCCTKGGGGCCCTTCAAASCCTTGTTGGGTCCCACCCTGGCCYCAAAGCCCAGCCCYGGGGTYGCAGGGATTCAGCGAGGAACAGAAAGGCTTCCCTGAGCTCCAGAGGCAGCTCTGGGACAAAGCTGTGARGAGGAGACATTTCTGCACCAAAAAGGGGGAATTTCTGTCCCCAAACTGGGCCATGGATGCCCCCATCCAGCCCAGCAAACCCAGCTTTATCTGAGTCCTTCCTACCAAACCTGGCTTTTCCTCTGAGTCCTTCCCACCAAATTTGGCTTTTCCTGAGCATTTACCCACTAAACCTGGCTTTTCCTCCATGCCCTTCCCACCAAACCTGGCTTTTTCTGTCTTTCCCCAGAGGCTCCTGGGGGCTGCCACACACCAAAATGAGCCAGGCAAGGAAGACTGAGCTGGAGAACAGAAAGCAAACTATTTGAGTCTGATCCCTACGTGACAATACCCAAAGAGAGGGCAAAATGTGATCCACGGGACCTCATAAAATCCTTCTGCTCCCAAAAAAGTGTRGAGTGACAGTTCCAAATGAAACCTTCAATTTCCAAAAGAGAACACCTCAGCACTTGGATGGTTTCTGGCACCTTGGCTGGAGCAGGGAGCTGCTGGGACCGTGTCTGTCCCTGAGTGATCCCATCCCGAYCTACAGAGCACAGCCCAGACTTGGGGAACCATGGAGAAATGGGAGGGTGGCAGATCCCTGAGAGGTGCCCTCTGCTTTGGGATGGACAGGGGAGGGTCTGAATGAGGTTTTGTTCTCTGCTCAGCTCTGATCAAGGGCAGGAGTCAACGAAGATGTAATTTTCCATGGATCATCCACGGCTCTAATTCACCAAATCTTCACRGAATCATGGAAATGACTCAGTGGAGAGACAGAGTTCTTGTGCTTTCACACAAAGAAGGGAGGAAGCAGCCAAGCCACCAATACAGATGATTTCTACCCGGTTTTGTTTACAAACCTTGGCCCCTGATAAAGCCAGGCTGGTCCTGTTCTCAMCAGCAACTTGGGACAAATCTTGAAATGAGAGGGAATTTCATCCATCCCTGGGTTGTGATACAGGAGAAAGAAGGGCTGCAACGGGGCAGAAATACAACAGTGTTTCATCATTAACTTCTGMAGTTCCTGAAAGTAGCAAAGATCAGAAAATCACAGARTCATGGAATGGTTTGGGTTGGGAGGGACCTTACAGCTCATCCCATTCCACCCCCTGCCATGGCAGGGACACCTTCCATGAGCCCAGGTGGCTCCAAGTCCTGTCTAGCCTGGCCTTGAACACTGCCAGAGGTGGGACCAGTCTCTCCATCTGGATCCTGGATAGCTCAGAATTGCCTCAGTGCAACTGCACAAAGCCAAACTTCCCTTTGGAGCCGGAATCCCTTTGCCCTTTAAACCCGCAGTAAGGACAGATGGATGTTCAGACTCTTCCCAGAGGAAGCACCCCAGGTGGAGGGARATCACATTTCCACAGGGCTGTGTTGCCACCCAGGACTCTGCAATTTGCCATTTTTTTTTCAATAAACATCAGCCATCTCCCATTCCAGGGCASCCAGGTTCACATCCAGGTGAGGAATGAAGCTCTGCTCTCTGAGCAGGTGAGCCAAGGAGGCTGGCAGAGGTTTGTCCATGGGGTTGGGTGAATTCCCTCCTGTGGTTTGGAGGAACCTTCTGAAAGCCCTGCTTGTAATCTTCTGTGGGGAGCAGAGGGGAGGCTTTGGGTCAGGATCAGGGATGGGACTGGACATGGGGGGCAGCTGCTCCTCCCTGGGGTGTCCTGCCCTGATTCCTGACCAACCATACACAAACTGCTCCTCAGACAGCTCGGGCTGCTTCGAATCCATGGGAAAATTAAACCAGAGCTGGCATCTGGAAAGGCACCAGAGATGGGAGTATGGAAGGCACTCCCAGCTTTGTCCCCCTGGACCTGCCTGAGCCAGGCCAGGCTYGGGGACACCGTGCCAGAGGGACRAGGGAGGTTCATCCTTCCCTCCCCAGCTTGGGGACACTGTGTAAGGGACGAGGGAGGTTCMTCCTTCCGTTCCCAGCACCTCAGGGATGTTTTCCCTCTCTGTCCCCTCTRCTGGAAGGGACCCTCAGGTCCCCCAGCYCCTGATCAGRGCACCCWCYTTGCTCCTGAGCCTTTCCTCAGGAGCTCCAGATGGACACACCCTGGGCAGGGGGTCACTTGTCCCAGCTCCATCCCCCAGCCCGGCCGGAGGCTCCTTGGCTCCTGTCCCTCRYGGAGCAGGGGGTGCCCAGAGCCCTCCCAGCTCCCACCCCCTCCAGTTTTATTTGTTTTTTTTATTTTCTCTCCTTCCCAGAGCCATCCTGTGTTTCTCCTGCTTTTCCCTCCTCCATCCCCTTCCCAGCCTCAGCCATTGGTCGCGGGGCAGCCCTGGGACGTTCTATAAAACCACCCACCCTGGAGTCACGGGAGCAAGGAACCCGCAGCACCAGCCCCCACAAAAGCCACCTCCAGGATCCAAAGCACTGCAGTTCTCCAGGACATGCCCAGCAAGGAGCTGTGAGAGGGCTGATCCCAGGAGCACCCGAATTCGAGGGTCACCAGGAAGGTAACTGAGCTCCAGCGGGAAGCTTTGCTGCAAACACAGTGATTCCTTGTGCCAGGGCGGGCTCTTGCAGGATTTACAGCCTCCTCTGGGGATGGCAATGAAGGGACCACGGTGCCTGGGTGAGGTCCAGGATGTGGGCAGGGACAGGAGAAACCCAGAGCCCCTCGGTGGGAGCTCCTTCTGCTCCCCGGACACGCTGGGCTCGGGGCAGGGAGCAGCGGGATGCGGCGGTGTCACCTCTCTCCCTCCTCTCCTCSGCCCGTGGAGATCGTGCTGCAGGATTTATCCGCAGGAAAGCCGTGTTTGGTGTCTGGAGGGATGAGGATGGGAAGGTGGAGCTGCACTGGGATGGAGGAGAGGAGGATGAGGTGGAGGGTGGAGGGAGAGAAGGAGCAGGTGGGGGTGGAGGAAGAGGACGGGGAGGTGGAGGAAGGAGAAGAGGGTGAAGTGGAGGATTTTGGGAGAGGCTGCCGGAGGTGGGGATGGATAGAGGTGCGGATACTGCCTGGGATGTGCCGGCCTCTCCTGGGCTCCCAGGGCAGGGGGCTCTCAGCCCTCACACACCGCTCCCAGGCAGGGTCCAGCTTTGCAGGGCTGTGGTGATGGTTCTCAGCCTCATTTTCTCTCTGGGAATCACCCCTGATGTCCAGGTCAGGATTCCAGCGGATTCAGCTGCGATTTGGGCTCGGCACTGTTGGAATTCTCCCTGAGATGTGTCGGAGCCATTCTCCAACAGCAGCAGCTGGGCCAGGGGGTCGGGCTGGGGRTGGTTCCTTCAGGCACAGCCTCATCTCCCTGAGGGATCAGCAACACCAGCAGAGCTCAGGGGGTTTGGGGCCGAGCCCTGCTGGCTTTGGCTTCCCCGCTGAATAAGCTTCTTGCTGTTCCCGTGCCTCAGTTTCTCTCAGCTGAGGAAGGGCTGTGCTTCCAAGCACTCCAAGGTGGAGTGGACAAAGAGTAAACGGGTGGTTGGACAGAAAAAAAAAACAGCATTTCTCTTTGATTTAAATGTTGGGTTTAGTAAAAGATTTTGGCGAGTTAAAGGCAAGATGGGGGAAAGGGCTTTTCCCCCGGTGTTTTGCAGGAGCTGTGTCCTGTGATCCCCTCATGTGAGATCCTGTGCCACGCCCCAGGGCTKCTGGGCTCTCACATTTACTGTGCCAGGGCTCTGTGGCGGGGAGGGCAGACAGAGCCAGCCCAGGGCTCTGCGGGGRCTGCAGGGATGTCCTGGCACCCACCCCACCCTCCTGAGCCCAGGGGCCACCCCACCCCACCCCACCACAAGCCTCGAGGGGCTGTGCCCTCAAAATGGTCCCTGTGAGCCCTCGGGGATCCCAGGCAGGAATTCTGAGCCGGCTCTGCCCTCTCCTGAGAGCCACAATCCTGTGGGCACAGCGGGAGGAGAGRTCAGGACATCCCCATGGGACACCTGTCCTTGGGGTGGCCGGGGGGACAGGGAGCTGAGGGGGACAGGGAGGCAGAAACCCTGGGAACAGGGCGGAGCAGGGATTTGTGTCCTGGTTTGAGATCCTTTGGGGTTTTATCCATTCTCTCTCCCATTCCCAGACCAGCGCAGGCATTTTCGGGCCCCGGGGATGCTGAGCTGTGCCCACGGGAGCTGGGCTGGACCTGGGGGGCTCCTGCTGGCCGGGCCATTCCCACAGAGCAGTGTCCCCAGCAGGCACTCCCGGCTGGACCCGGGATTCCCCTCGCCCTGTTACAGCCCTGTTACAGCAGTCCTAGGGAGCAGCTCCTGGGCACAGCGGGTTTGGGGTCAGACCCCACCTCTGCCCCGAGGAGCTGGAGCAGAGCCTGGGTCCGAGCTGTGATCCCAGTCAGGCTCTCTGAGCCCTGCCTCACTGGCTCCTCCAGAGCCGGGAAACCCCAGGGAATCCCAAAAAGCCTCCTGTTCCAGTCCAACCACAGCCATTTCTCCTCCCTTCAGAGCCGGGAATTTTCAGTTTGACAAAAATGTGCCTCACCCATTCCAACCAGATTTATCCCTGTCTGAGGAACAGACTGGAATTTGCTGCCCTCTCCCACTCTTCCTCCGGGCTCGTTTCCCGTCCTGGGTGATCCAGAAGCCCCTTCCTCAGAGCCACATCCCCCTGCATGGTGCCACAGCCTCGCTCAGCTTTGCCCTGCTGTTGTGGGGCAGCTCCTCGGCCCTTCCTGCCGCTGAGAGCAAAACAACGGAGCAAAACCACAGAGCCAGGATATTCACTGGTGCTCCGGCCCTGGGGAGCGCTCACTGCGCCAGCAGCGGGGCTGGGATGGGCACGGGGACGGGGATAGCGCTGGGCATGGGGACAGGGATGGCACTGGGCATGGGGACAGGGATGGCACTGGGCATGGGGACAGGGATGGCCCTGGGTACGGGAGGATGGATGTCCCTGGGCACGGAGATGGGGATGGCACTGGGCATGGGGCCGAGTGGGCACGGTGGTTTTGGGAAGGAGGAAGCTCCGTTAACGGGGATGGGGATGGGGAAGGAGGGGCTCTGGGGCTACTCATACACTGGGGTGAGGTGTCAGGTATCAATGGGGCATCACTGGAAAAGGCCCCGCATCGTTCTCCCAGCAGGGCTGTGCTGGGTCTCCCCTTGCAGGGGCAGCCCTTGGGATCTGATGGGCAAGGGATGGTGGTGAAGCTCCAGTTTCCCCATGGARTGGACTGGGAAAGCTCTGCTGGTCCTGTGGGCCCCGAGGCGGAACTGCACAACTGCCCAGATGTCAACAGAGGTGCCCCCAAACTGCAGCCTCAAATGGCTGTGAACTAAATTACCCAAAACTAAACCCTACAACTCCCTGACAGGAGGGGGCAGCCAGGGGGGTCGGGCTGTGCTCCAGGGAACAGGGACAGGAGGAGAGGGAACGGCCTCAGGCTGGGCCAGGGGAGGGACAGGGGGGACATCAGCAGGAATTTCCTCACAGAGAGAGGGGGTCAGGCCTTGGCAGGGGCTGCCCAGGGAGGTGTCCTTGGAGGTGTCCAAGGAAGGCCTGGAGGTGGCACTGAGTGCTCTGGGCTGGGGACAAGGTSRGGACTGGGCACAGCTTKGACTCAATGGGCTGGGAGGTTTTTTCCAGCCCCAGGGATTCTGTGATTCCATGATTTCAGATGAAGATTGGGATGGGCATGGAAGGAAATCGGGACTGGCCAYGGGAGCAGCAGTGCCCGGTGCAGAAGGTGCAGTGGCTGCTCCCTCACCCTGAGCAGGGGCGGGTGCCCCCAGCTGCTACCGGGCTGAGCCAGAGGCACAGGGACAGTTTGTTCTCCCTTCAGTTTGTTCTTCKGAGCTGTTTGAACTCAGCAGCACAAACTCCCACCCGCAGGGTCAGCGGTTCTGACCTGCTGGGATCTGATCTGGCGCTGCTCCTGCTCGCTGGGGTCAGGGAGCTCTGCAGCCACTCAGAGGGTAGAACAGAATTGAATCAAAAAATGGAATTTCCCAGGTTGGGAAGGACCCACAGGACCATCCAGTCCAACCCCCAGCCCTGCACAGATCCCCCAACAATCCCACCCTGTGCATCCCTGGCAGCGCTGTCCAAACACCCCTGGAGCTCTGGCAGCCTTGGGGCTGTGCCCATTCCCTGGGGAGCCTGGGCAGTGCCAGCACCCTCTGGGGACAGAAGAACCTTTCCCTGAGATCCATTGCAATGCCCAGACAAAATTTCAGGTCCTTCCCTTGGGTCCTGCCCCTGCTCACAGAGATCAGGGATCAGAGCTGCCTGTTGTGAGGAGGTTTCAGCCCCCAGTGAGCTCTGACCTCGGTCTCCTCCTCCCCAGGCTGAACCATTTTCTTCTACCCAACATCCCATTCCTCCTTTTCTGCTAAACAACTCTCCCTGGTGCCTTTCTCCCCCACAGATCCAAGCAGGACCCCGAGGCCATCCCAGGAGCATTATGAGGACTCCTGCCCCCAGCTCTGCCATCGGGTCCCCGGCAGGAGCGATCCCAGCTCTCGCCACTCTGGCCCTGTTCCTGGCTCTCCTGTTCCCCGGGACTCACGGACAGACCCCATGGGCGGTCCAGGAGAGCCCRGTACCCCTGGAGGTGCTGGGCCAGGAGCAGGCTTACAGCCTGGTGCAGCCCGGGCTGCTGCGGGGCGTGCCAGTGTCCAACGTGTCCGAGAGCGCAGCCGGGGGCCCCTCGGAGCCGCCGCTGCTGCCCGTGTGTGCCAARCCCGCCGACATCCGCCACGTCTTCAAGTACATCAACACCATCGTGTCCTGCACCATCTTCATCGTGGGCATCATCGGCAACTCCACGCTGCTGCGCATCATCTACAAGAACAAGTGCATGAGGAACGGGCCCAACGTGCTCATCGCCAGCCTGGCGCTGGGGGAYCTGCTCTACATCCTCATCGCTCTGCCCATCAACGTCTACAAGGTGGGGACACGCAGGGATGGGGCTGCTCCCACCACACTGCCCTGGGAGGAACTCTGGGAGAAGCTGTGGCTGCCCCTGGATCCCTGGGATTGTCCAAGGCCAGGCTGGACATTGGGGCTGGGAGCAGCCTGGGACAGTGGGAGGTGTCCCTGCCATGGCAGGGGTGGCACTGGATGGGCTTTAAGGTCCCTCTGAAACCCTTCTGGGGTTCCATGATTTGTGTCACTTGTTAAGGAAARAGCTGGAACAGGGGGTGGGTTCTGGGGTCACCTCAGGATGGGCTCAGGGCTCAGGGAACAGAAGGGCTGTGAATTTAGACTCATTCTCATCCCCATGAGTGGGTGGCCTGGATTTCTYCAGCCTTCAGGACACATTGTCCCCACCTCTGCTTGTCCCCCACCTTGTCCCAGCTGGGTGTGGGGCYGCAGTACCTGGGTTCTGTAGGGAATTGGCTGTGCTCAAGGGTCAGAGGCTGGAAAAGGCTCAGTACACAGGGCTCTGATGCTGTCTGTGCTGGATTTGGGTTGTTTCAGAGCAGCACACCTTCTCCCATCRAAATCAGCCCAGTGGCCCAGGGTGGTGTTTAGGCTCAGATCCACTCAAACCCCTCAGGGTGGGGAGTYAGGACTGGGTGTCTGGCCCATCCTTCATCTCTGTGTCCAGCCAGGSCAATGAAAGGCTCCCAGTGCCCAGACCATGGGAAAACGCCCAGGGCACATTCCCAGCCGTGGGAACCTCGGGGAGCTCTCCCTGCTCTCTGTGAGCTCCCCACACCTCGTGGGCACCCCCTGCTATGGCAGGAAGCTGGGAGCCCATTCCCAGAGCAGCCGTGGTTCTCCCACAGCTCCTGGCCAAGGACTGGCCCTTCGGAGTGCAGGTCTGCAAGCTGGTGCCCTTCATCCAGAAAGCCTCGGTGGGCATCACGGTGCTCAGCCTGTGCGCCCTCAGCATCGACAGGTGAGCACCCACAGCCACCCCCACGCTGCCCAGCCTGGCCCTGGCCCTGGGCTGGTGCCAAAGGCACATCCAGGAGCTCGTCCCAGCCCAGTTCCAAGGYTTCTCTCGTGTGGAGTTGGAGTCCAGCAGGAATTCTTTGGTGGCAGAATTGAAACTCTGCTGGGAAAGGCTGAGGGAGGATCATGACGTGGGTGAGGTGATGGGGAAGGGTGGTCAGGTTGGCCAGGGACAGTCCCCATCCCATCCATCCATGGAGCCCCCTCTTTCCATTCCATATAGAAGGTTTGGGGTGCAGGAGGGAGCTGTGGGGGTAAGGAGCTTTGGGGAYGGCTCCAACCTGCACCCTCTGCTCCCCTCCCTGCTGCTTCCCTCACTCCCCTCTGCTCCTGTCCCCCCCTGGGCAGGTACCGGGCAGTGGCGTCCTGGAGCCGCATCCAGGGCATCGGGATCCCGGTCTGGAAGGCYGTGGAGGTGCTGCTGATCTGGGCTGTGGCCATCGCACTGGCCGTGCCCGAGGCCATCGCCTTCGACATGGTGGAGCTGAGCTACTGGGAGCAGCACCTGTGGGTGTGCATGTTGGCCTCGGAGCAGAAATCCCGCTTCATGAGGGTATGTGTGTGTCCCAATCCCAATCCCTATCCCGCTTCATGAGGGTATGTGTGTGTCCCAATCCCAATCCCTATCCCGCTTCATGAGGGTACGTGTGCGTCTGGATCCTGATCCCAATGCAAAACCAATCCCATGTCATCAGGGTATGTGTTGCATCCCAACCCTGATCCTGATCACAATCCTGCTTCATGAGGGTATGTGTGTGTCCCAATCCCGATCCTGATCCCAATCCCAATCCCAATCCCAATCCCAATCCCAATCCCAATCCCAATCCCAATCCCAATCCCAATCCCAATCCCAATCCCAATCCTGCTTCATGAGGGTATGTGTGCATCCAGACCCCAATCCCAATCCTGCTTTATGAGAGTACGTGTGCATCCCAAGTTCAATCCAGATCCCAATCCCGCTTCATGAGGGTACATGTGCATCCCAACCCCAATCCTGAGCCTGACCCCAATCCCGATCCTGACCTAATCCCAAACCTGACCCCAATCTCAATCCCAATCCCAATCCCAATTCTGCTTCATGGGGGTACATCCCCATGTGGGTGTGCATCCCAATCCCAATCTTGCTTCATGAGACTATGTTTACATTCCAATCCCAACTCCCCTTCATAGTGGCCTGTACCCATCCCAGTTCCAATCCTTATCCTAATCCCAACTGTAATCCCAATCCCCCTTCATAAGGGTCCTTGTCCTTCCCACTCCCGCTCCATGAGGGTCCRTGCTCATCCCAATCCCAGTYCTGCTCCATGAGGGTCTGTGCTCATCACAATCMCAATCCCAATCCTGCTCAATGAGGGTACGTGCAGACCCATTGCGCTGCCCCATGAGGAGCAGGGATCCCAGGCAGCAGGGGATCATCCCTTCTGGGTTCCAGGGGTAAATCCACCTGGAGAGGGCACCTGGCAGCAGAGTCAGAGTGGGCACAGTGTTGTGGGGCCGTGGGGCCGTGGTGCTGAACGTGGGGCAGGGAACAGGAACCTCTGTCGTGTTCCACCCACTATCTCAGGTCAGGGACATCTCAGGAGGCCTCCGAGCCCCCACGCTGTCCCAGCAGCCCAAGGAGCCTTCCCTGGGCTCTCAGCTTTTATTGTGAGCCAGGAGTGAAGACCCTCATCCATAGGCATTATCCCCCTGCGCCCAACAAACGAGCTCCTCCAAGAGCAGTGACGGGCCAGAGGTTCAGTGGCATAGTGGAACTCAGGCAAAGTTGGATGGTCTTGGGGGGCTTTTCCAGCCTTGGTGATTCCATGATTCCACGATTCCATGATTCCATAATTCCTTATAAACCAGGCTTTACATCTGTAGGTCAAACCCATGCACCACCCTTGGAAAGGACAATCGCAAGAGCTCATAGGGCAGGGCAGTGACGCTTCCTCCCACCTTAAATGTCTGTACAGGCAGCTCTGGTCCCACCCTGCCCTGTCCCCATTCCCACTGCTCTCCCTCTCCCTGCAGTTCTACCGGGATGTCAAGGACTGGTGGCTTTTTGGCTTCTATTTCTGCCTGCCCTTGGTGTGCACGGGCATCTTCTACACCCTCATGTCCTGCGAGATGCTGAGCAAGAGGAACGGCATGAGGATTGCCCTGAACGACCACATGAAACGGGTGAGAGAGCAGGGAGACTTCTGGGATTTCCCAAAGAGGAGGGGAGCTGTGGAAGGGGATCAGGAGGACCTGGCAAAGCCTCCCAGCAGATCCTGGCACGTGATTGGTGCAGGGATTAAAGCAGGGAAAAGAGCCTTCAGCTCCATCATCTCCAGTACTGGGAAYGAGCCCAAACCTTCTGACAACAGCCCAGCTTCATGAAAGCTCTCCTGGTCATTTATCACAACCCACACCACACTGGACCAAAGGCTGGATGTGCCAARTCCCAGCCAAGGGGTGCAGGGAGGAGTTCATTGTCCCCTCCCAGGTTTGGGAATGATTCCTTGAGGAACACCAGCTAATTGTCACCATAAGGAGGTGAGGGGTGAATGGAGGAGGCCCCATGTCCCCTGGAGCCACCAGGAGCGATGGTGGGGAGGGGTCTGGCCCATGTGGAGCTCTGTTGCCCTGCCYCTTTCTGCAGCCTGGACCATCCAGATGCTGCAGGGTTCCAGGAGCAGCCTGGGCAGGTGGAAATGTCCCTGCCCATGGTGGGACAAGACGAGCTTTAAYGTCCTTTCCAACCCAAACCGTTCCATGATTYCATGATTTGGGACCTGCTTTGCCCCACCTGCTCCCCAGTTCTCACCTTGTCCTGTCCTCACRTCCGGCAGCGCCGGGAGGTGGCCAAGACCGTGTTCTGCCTGGTGGTGATCTTCGCGCTCTGCTGGCTGCCCCTGCACCTCAGCCGCATCCTCAAGAAAACCATCTACGACCAGACRGACCCCAACCGCTGCGAGCTGCTCAGGTGCTGYSAGCTCCCCAGGGAYGGGCAAGGCTCTGCCTGGGGRAGCTGCCTTCCAATCCTGCTTTGGKGATGCCTGTTCCRGGTGGCATTGCACTCCTGATGGGCACGGAGAGGGTGGGGGAACATGAGAAGGGTCAACTTCACTTTTGGGATGTCTCCTGGGCACAGGAACATTCCCAGCAGGGCTGAGGGCTCCTCACTTTCTGCTGGGTGGGAAGGGTCCATCTCCCTCCCCTCCCACCCATCAACCCAAATCCAGCCCAGGCCAGGGGCTGCTGCTGTGCTGGAATTGGGAACATCAGGAGCACCAGAAAAAAGCAGAGCTCAATGCTCTTGGCTTCCTCAGGGAGTGCTCCTCACAAGGAAAAGTGTTTTTTTCTTCAGAAATGATGGATTTGTGCTCYGCTCTGTCATCAGTTCCAGCCCCTCCCTGGAAGCAGGAACCCAAGCCAGGCACTTTGGAAACTCCCTCAGTTATCCATGAGCTTCTAACAGGTTTGTTCTCTCCCCTCCTGCCTCAGTTTCCTCCTGGTGATGGATTATTTCGGGATCAACATGGCCTCCCTCAACTCCTGCATCAACCCTGTGGCTCTGTACTTTGTCAGCCGGAAATTCAAGAATTGCTTCCAGGTGGGAATGACCCCTCCAGAGCTCCTGGCTGTGGCTCCCCATCCCAGACACCACTAGGCCCAGGGGCACGAGCTGATCTTACCCCTCATCCCAAATTTTCTCTGTTAGGAGCCTCTCTTCCCAGCTCCAAGTACMTCACAGCTCAGTGCCCTGCTGGGGGGAGGCTTTTGCCAGAGCAGGATTTAGGACAAGCCAWAAATTCCCTGTCCTTTTGGAACAGGAACACCCCCATAAACCATCAGACCAGGGGCTGGGGCTGCTCCAAACTTTGAGCCCAAGGTGTCTGGAGATAGTTTTCAGGAGTAGTGAAGCCCTGAGAAGGGAAGGGGATGGGATGGGATGGGATGGGATGGGATGGGATGGGATGGGATGGGATGGGAACTGGGCCCAGTCAAGCATCACCCATATTTTCTGTCCCCCAATGACAAAAACCCACAACTAAAAGGAATGCCCCAAATTTTTGTATCCTCATTTCCCATCTACACCAGGCCCATCCTGGCAAACCTGCTCCCAGCAGAGCTGCAGGACAGCAAGGCTCAGGAGTGCCATTGCCAGCACAGGGGCACATGCTGGCACAGATTTGGGAATATTTCGTTCCCTTTTCCCATTCCCCACACTGTGACCTCTCCCTCCTTGTGTCTCCCCAGTCGTGCCTGTGCTGCTGGTGCCAGCGGCCAGCCCTGAGCATCACCCCCACGGATGAGAAGGGATCTGTGGGAAAGTGGAAAGCCACGGGGCAGGAGCTGGGGTTGGACCGGAGCAGCTCCCGCCTGAGCAACAAGTACAGCTCTTCCTAAAGCCCTGTCACCTGCCAAGGACAAGGCACAGGGACAGCAGGACCCCTCCGATCCTCTCCCAGGCTTTTCCTGGCTGGGCCTGGAGCAGCTTTGCCCTCCTGTCCTACCCCACTGGGAAGGAGCTGGAGCGTTTCCTCAGGACCRGCTCCACACCCAGCCCCTGCTGCCAGCGACTGCCTCTGCAGGAGAGGGAAGGGGATTCGGATCCTCACGGGATTTTTCATTCCTTGCAGGAAAACCAAGGRACTTCTGGCCTTTTGCCTGGGGGTGGAAGGTGGGGCGGGGGGATGTGAGTGGAAAGGAAAGGRAAGTCGGTGTGGTCACTTGGAGATGGATGTGGGGTGAGGAGGAGAGGGAGAGTGACAATTCCAGCTGTGACAGCCACCCAAAGCTTGGATAAATCCCTAGCTGTGCTGCTGGGACCATGTGTCCCTGGGCAGAGAGGGAGCCAGGATGGATCCAGGTGCTGGGACATCTCCTTCTGCTTGGGGTGAGCACAGAAGGGCAGTGACTCTGCCACTGTCACCCACCTGGCCCAGGGAKCCTTCAAAGCCTCCTCCTCTTCCTCTGCCCCAGGAAACCCGCCCCAGGCTCTGGCCTGGGGATAAAGGTCACCCCACCTGTGACCACAGGCCTTGGGGACCATTGTCCTGGCTCCATGCCCTCCAGCCAAGCCATGGGCTCAGCTCCCCCTCCCCAGGGATGGGAGAGCTCCTGGGCACTGCTCTTCCTTCCAGAGCAGAGCTGGCAATCCCAGGAAAGGGAAGGCAGTGACAGTTCAGATCCAGGGCCCAGCCCTCCCCTTCCCAGCCCCCCGTGGCACCTGGCAGCAGGCAAGGGACAGGAGCCAGCTGTGCACTTCCAGGAAAGCATCCAACCTCAACCCACAGCCTGTAGCAGCTGCAATGTCACAGTCCAGGGCTCCTGCGAGGGGATCACCTGCATTGGGAAAAGGGATCTCAGTGCCTGGAGCTGGTGTTGCCTCTGCCAGCCATGGGACAGAGGGGCTGCATCCTGACATGGCCTGGCCACTGTAACTCCAAAGCCATGGGCCAGTTGTCCTCGTGGTCACATGGAGGTGGGAATGGCAGTGGAGAAAGTCCAACTTCAGCTGGAARAGCCACTAGAACCAACCAAAATACGGGAAAGAGCTTCTCCAAATTTATTATTCACAATAATTCATCCCCTGGGGGATATTCCAGCAATTTTCAAGGCCAGGATGGACAGGGCCACCGAGTGGGAGATGTCCCTGCCTGTGGCAGGGGGGGAATGAGATGGACTTTAGGGTCCCTCCCAACCCAACCCATCCTGTGATTCCAGTCCATGTGATTACATTCTAACAATTGCTCTTGCCTCTTGCCAAAACTTCCAGAAAGCCTACATGAAAACTTTTTTTAACCAAGCTTTTGATGTTTTTCTGTTGATTTTCCTTTCTCTCTTTTTCCTCTCTCTCTCTTTTCCTTCTTTCCCCCTTTTACCTTGTCAAGGAAAAAAATGGCGAGAGGAAAATGGGAGAAGAAACGAGACCTGCAATTAAAACATTTTCCAGGGGGTGGGGTGGTTTTTTTAAGCTTAACTTTCACTGAAATGTTTATGTTTTACAAATAAATCATAAAGACAAATGGGTTTCAAGGAGAACAGACACTGAGAAATTTCAAGACCAGCCTGCTTCCCCATAAATTTCCCAATCCATGGAGCAATCTGTGTCCATTTGCAGTGCTGCTGTTGGGCTCTGCTGCGTTTGTTGGTGGAAAAATGAAGTCTGAAGAGAAAACTGATAAAGACTGAAAGGTTCCAGCACAGACACCTCAGAAAAAGGGTATTTTTAATTGATTTTGCTTATGAACAAATCAGAATTCTGTGTATTTCTGTAGTTTTCCACATCTATAGGCAAATGGAGTCTGTGAGTCCAACTCAGCACCTCCCACTGCTCCCAGGAGCTCCCACTGTGGTGTGGGACCATGGGCAGGATGAATCCCTGGCAGCAATCAGAGCAAAAGGAGCTGTGTTAGGGCATCTGAGTCCAGCACAACCCCACCAGGAACGGTCAGAGAGGCCCAGTTCACCAATTCCCATGTGCCAGGGGGATTTTATAGGGAAACCCAGCATTCCCCATCCTCCCTCTCCCTCCTCTGTGTGTCCCCAATAAACCACAGAGTATTTGAAGGAAATCCTGGGGTTGCAGAGGCTGCTCAACACCTCCCTGAGGGCACCAGGGGATGGGCTGTGTCCCCTGGCCAGAGCAATCCAGAAAGGGTCRCAAACCTTCAGAATTGCACACTTGACACCCACCCAAAGCTTCCCCTCAGAGAGCTGAGCCCAGCACCAGGGTTTCACTGGGGAATGCCTGCAAMCTGCTAGGGAGGAGGCTCAGACACAGGGAATGGCTTCCCAGTGCCAGAGGGCAGGGATGGATGGGATATTGGGAAGGAATTGTTCCCTGGGAGGGTGGGGAGGCCCTGGCACAGGGTGCCCAGAGAAGCTGTGGCTGCCCCTGGATCCCTGGCAGTGCCCAAGGCCAGGCTGGACATTGGGGCTGGGAGCAGCCTGGGACAGTGGAATGTGTCCCCTAGTTCCAGCTGGAATTAGATGGACTTTAAGGTCCCTTCCCATCCAAAGCATTCCATGATTCTATGATTTTCCATCCCTGTGCTGAGCAAGACACTTCTGCAGCATCTAAATTAATAAGCTTTATTATTAGAGAAAATACATTTTGCAATAAAGTAAAAAAAAAAAACCAACCAAAAACTCTCGCCTGGACACACAGAATTCAACACACAGAGGTCATGAATCCATGGGATACCCATGCCATTCCCAAAGGCTACTGCATCTCCTCCTCCTTCTGTGCCCTGAACTCCTTCATGCTCCTCTGAAACCAGAGCAAAGGACAAATGTCACCAACATGACCCTGAGTGACTCATGTAGCATGGAGCCACCACCCTGCTGAACTGGCAGTCCTCTGCCTGGAGCCTGTAAAAGCTGGAAGCTTTGACACTGGGAAGCACCTGGCACCAACTGCTTCTGGAAGTAGCTGAGCTTTCCAGACACTCCAAGGGAGAGGGAGCCAGGCCACGGATCAGGCAGAGCCTGTCCAAAAAACTCCCCAATTTTYCTGTCAAAGGTGCCTCCAACACAGGCCTCGGCCTCCCTGTCCTGGGATCAAGGGAGAGAATACCCCTGGAGCTCTCAGGGTATGGATCAAGCACACCTGAGCTCTCCAGGAATAGACCAAACAGATCCTGAGCTCTCAGGAATGGACCAAACAGACCCTGAACCCTCCAGGAATGGACCCTCCAGGAGTGGACCAAGGGACAGAACAGACCCTGAGCTCTCTGGGAATGGACCAAGGGAGGACAGAACAGATCCTGAGCTCTCTGGGAATGGACCAAGGGAGGACAGAACAGATCCTGAGCTCTCTGGGAATGGACCAAGGGAGGACAGAACAGATCCTGAGCTCTCTGGGAATGGACCAAGGGACAGAACAGACCCTGAGCTCTCTGGGAATGGACCAAGGGAGGACGGAACAGACCCAGAGCTCCCTGGGAATGTCTCACCTCAAACGTGTTGAGCACGTGTTGGCAAACTCCCATCAGGTCGTTCAGCCCTTTCCGGAATGGTTCCACAGCAGGAAGGGCCCCTTTGGGAAAAGATGGGAACAGATGGATYAGTGACACAGGAGGTGCTCGCTTCCCCAGGCAGTCTGTACCTCCCCAAGTGTGTGCCCCACCCCCAGCCCCACAGCTCRGGGTGCCAGGGCTGCTGCCAGCCAGCCCAGGCACCAGGGATGGTGCTTCCCACTGCAGCTGGAGCAGAATTATGGCAGCAGCCCGTGAGGCTCAGCAAAGGGGCAGAACACTGCAGTGCCTGGCATAGGGCACGGGGACAGGGCTTGGCTTTAYTGAAATGACTCCTGGTGGGAAGCTGGCAGGAGTAGGGGGAAATTCCATGGGCCCCGGACAGGGAGGAAGAGCTCCAGCCTCACCYCTGGTCTGGATCCTGAAGTTGATCTTGCTTTCCGAGGGGTGTGTGATGCAGTAGCCACAGAACTCCACATCAGGGCTGCAGGACAGCAGAGAGGGGAGCAGTGAAACCCAGGCCAATCCATGGCAAATCCCAAAAACRCTGGAGGCTTGGGGCACCCCAGACCTGCTGGAACTCTGGATGTTTCCAGAATGACTTAGGGGAAGGATGTGGGCCATCTGTCTCATGAGGTGTGGATCAGGGAGGAGAAGGCCAGGGCAGGTCCCTCAGAGGCCCCACTCACTTCTTCATGACCATGTAGCGCAGGGAGTTGCCCAGAGTGTGATCCTCGTCGTGCAGCACAAACGTGACACAGTTCCCATCYGTCCCATCCGCCTGGATCTGTCACCAGTGGGAAGAGAAGAGAAGCGAAGCTGTAACCTCCCTGACATCAGGGACACCTGAAGGGTGAYGATCAGCTCCTGTCTCAGCTTCCCAGAGTAACTGGGAGCTCTGGCTGGGCCACCKCTGCTACTGCTGTGTGATCAAAACACCGTCACAGAGGAGGGAAAGCTCCAAAACTGCACCTGGTTTTAAAACACCTTAGTCCTGACCTCCCCCTGCTTCTGTTCCCCACAGGAGGACCKCAAACTCCTGAACTTCATTACATTTTCCCAAAAGGTGTGTTCCCTGCTGTCCCTCATGTTTCAGGTGACAGCACTCGCTGCCTGGAGACCATGGACACCATAATGGAGTTTCCCGTGCCAGGGAAAGCCCCGCGGTGACCCGGGGTGGGCTCGGGGGTCTCTGGGGTGGCACCTGGGGGGTTGAGATGCAGGAATGGAGGGAAGGAAGGCCCAAGGGCAGGTGGGATGGAGCAGCAGGGTGGGAGCAGCAGGATCTGGGCTGTTTCCCACAGCTGGGATGGGGCAGCAGCCCCGGGATGTGGCCAAGAGCTGGCTGTCCCCACCACAGGCGAGCGTGCCCTACCACTGAGCCGGGTTTGGGAATGACAGCACYACGGAACCATGGAATCACTGAGGCTGGAAAAGCCTCCAAGATCTCCAGTGCACAACCACTGTCCAGCACTGCCCAGGCCACCATAACCGCATCCCCATGTCCCACATGCATAGGGCTCTTAAACTCTCCAGGCACGGGGATCCACACCTGCCCTGGGCAGCTGYTCCAGGGCTGGACAACCCTTTCCACGAAGGATTTTCCCCTAATATCCCAYCTGACCCTGCCCKGGCACAAGGTGAGGCCGCTTTTCCCCAGGAGCAGCGCCCGGGCTCCCCGCTCCACCTCCTGTCAGGGGTTGTGGGGAGCGAGCGCATCCCTCCCGTTCCCG